AGCCTCACCTCCTGGGGCTGCATTGGTTAGTTTCCCAAGGAACGCCCTGGGTAAGATGAGAACGGGGGTCGCTGAGGTGTAGGTGAACGTGACTGACGGCACTGCAGAGAGGGCAAACGGCTAGTGGTGAACTGGGAAGGAGCGGCTGGATCAGCATAGGACGATTCGGCGTGTGGCGACAGAGAACGAACTGAACGTTCGCAGCGACGGTCAGTATATGGTCGAGGCGATGAATTCCAGCGGCTACGGCAGTGGCGGGAGATACGGCCGATCTGGCGACACATGAAGCAGATTGGTCTGTCATCCGGCGTTCGCCACTCAGATGAGTTTCGGTACCGGTTCGCGCAATACTGTTGGGGCGTAGCAGAGGCAATGATCGGGGCGGTCGAGATGGGACTTGTGCTACTGGTGAATGGTATTTCTATATTCGCAATTTCTTGACGAACAACAGCTTGAATGAGCGAGATTGTCAGGTTGTTATGCATGTGGGGACCACGAGAGTTCGGAGCCATAGCCTCAAGTTCACGATGTATGTTTAGCGGCGAGAGAAGAGAAACGTGAGACAGCGTCGAGGTCGGCCGACGGGGCCGTGCCGATCTCGCCTCTTTATTCCTTGCCTGAAGTGGAGCAGTGGCGGCTGTCCACGTCCGACACGCCAAATGCGCTAGCTTGTTGTAATCCTCGCGCAGCTCGAGCTAGCATCAGCTGCATGAGAGGCGTGGCGCAGTGATCAAGAAATGATGATGGTGTGATGATGGCACTACAGGACTCCCTCCTAGCGCTTTGCGCGATTTGAAGGCATATGAAAAAAAGAAAGCGACAAATGCTATATACATGAACGACAATCCATGAAGTATTCATTTGGGAAGTCAACGTTGTCAACGTTGATGGGCCCTCGGTAAGCAGCGGGTCTCCGGTGGGAGACTCTGGGAGAAGCGCAAGGGACGAAGAAGGAAGCGCCGGGTCGCTGTGGTCGTAGACCAGCGGGTCTCACGATGACCTGGTCGGACAGACCGAGAGTTGACCGTGTGTCGCGAGATCATGCTGCTAACGTCTGCAGAGGGTCGGAAGTGCGGGTTTTGACGTTGGGGTTGACGCAACACAGACCTCAAAGTCGTGCGGCGTCCGATGTGCCGGTATGGATAGACGTGTCGACGGACGCAGGAACGTGTCCGAACACCAGCGCCACATGCACGGTGGGTAGTCGGGTACACGTCAAGTGGTGGAACATTGCGTAGGACAGGCCGAGTAGGCGCTTACGCCATCTTCAGGGCCGTGACTGCAATTGTGGCTGCGTAGCAGGGCGGCTCGAAAGGTGCCGTAATGTGTGATGCAAGCACGTTGTAGTCGACGTAGGGTCACGGGTGGTAGACATGTATGAGGAGGTATGGGCGTCGTCACGTTTGTGACACACGAGCCGGCGTTGTGGACATGCGTCTGGTTGATGCCGTCTGGCGTCAAAGGCTCCGGGGAATGGTGGTGGTAGAATCCAGTCAGCGTGGGCTCGGCCGGAGGGTTGGACGGGACTCCTGTGCTTGTGTAATGACCTGCGGTAGTCCCCGCACGAGCGTTGGCGTGCAGGTCTGCATAATTGATGGCTGCCTCTAGCCGACACCCCTTAGATTGCTCCACCGCAGGCGTGGTATGCCTGGTGAGCCCTGTCGGAAGCGGACCAGGCCCGTCGTTCTCAAGCGCATCAGTCATAGTCGCAGCGTCTTGGAAGTTTGGCCATGGTTGATGGGTGGTGGCTTTAACATCGGCTGCGGGAGACTGCGAGGATGATGCTGGTCGTCGCTGGCAGGACGCGCGACCATTGAGGCTGGTAGAGAGTCCCCTTCGGACATCGGGGATGGTAAAGGTTCCGCGACCGGGAGGTGAATAGCGGGTGTGACATTGCCCGTAGTTGTGGTAGACTCCGGGGTGTTTGTGGAGCTTGCTGTCGTGGAGCTTGACGTGTCAGAGGTGTTGAGGGCCATTGAGGTCGGCCAAGACGAGTGGGTGGCGAGCATCCCTACAGTATCGTGGGCCGAGGATGTTGAAAAAGCGTACCTCGTTGCTGACTGGTTGCATGCAGAACGAATGTTCTGTACCTTGTCGGATGGGCACTCGGACGCGGGACTCACGTCGCTAGTGGCCGGACGAGAGGTTGTAGGAGATATAGCCAGGGAAGTGAAGTCTTGGTCGAGGTGGGGCTGTGGGCCGTCTGGTACTGCTCGCTGGGGCGAAGGGGCAACCTGGAACTTGCGGCTCCCCGGAAGCGGGCGATAGGTTTCACCGTAGCAGGCGAGCACCGCAGCACAGAGGTCGTCGAAGGGTCGCGGGCTGGAGGACGACTCGGCGGTTATAGGACGCAGCTCAACCGGGAGGGCGTCCAGCAGGACAGCGTACAACATCATTGGCTGTGCCTTGATGCCATTGACCGCGAGAATGGCATCGAGCCGCATAAACCAAGCTCAGGGGTAGACCGGGTGAAACGGCAGAACTGGAGGGCAGAGTTGCGAAAGCATGGCAGCGGGCTGTTCGACGAAGGGAGAGTTCTCCGGGTCACCACTTTAGCTGCGAGAGAAGAGAGACGTGAGACGGCGTCGAAGGCGGCCAACGGGGCCATGCCGACCTCGCCACTTTATTCCACGCCTGAAGGGGAGCTGCGGCGGCTGTCCACGTCCGACACGCCAAATGCGCTAGCTTGTTCTAATCCTCGCGCAGCTCGAGCTAGCATCAGCTGCGCGAGAGGCGTGGCGCAGTGATCAAGAAATGATGATGGTGATGATTGCACTACATATGGCTTGCATTAAACTTCGTGATACTGGTTGATGCAGCAGAACTGGTTCATTACAGGACGAGGTCGGAGCTGTATTAGGAAGCTGGTCAAAGCAGTGCACGATGCGCTTGCCTTTTGCTTGCCCAAAGATGCGGCACTCTTTCATGAGGGAGTCAACTGTTGCGCAGCTGTTACATAGCAAGAAGTTGAATGCATCGTCGGTGGTGCCCTTCATGATGTGTCCGACCTTATCTGCCTCCGACATGTTCTCATTGGCTTTTCGGCAAAGTGCCAGGACATCCTGAATGTAGGAAATGTATGATTCGGTGGACGTCTCGGCACAAGACGCGAGCTCCTTCTGGGCTTCTGCTTGGCATCTAATTGGTATCCCGAATTGGCTTCGTGCGTCTCAAACAACGCCTTTGCGGCGTCCCCGAAATAGAATATCATGTTCGCCAACATAAGTGTTGGATCCCACCTGTAACTGTTGGTGACGCGCTGGTACATCGACAGCCACACATCGACGTCGACCTTGCCAGTGCCAGTGAAGACTCCCGGGTCACATAGCGGAGACATCACGTATTGCACTGGTGCCGGAGGGGCCAGTACACTGCCATTAGCCATAGCAGCGGAACCGATGTGACGTATGCTGCGGAGATCCAGCTCCGACTTCCGTAGAGACATACCCAGCACTTCTACCATAATGATACGTGTATCGTTGCAGTTGAAGTTGCAGACGCCCTAAGGCAAGAGCGACACAATCTGTTTCGAGCCCGAGAACACTTCAACCTCCACTATGGCTAAAAGGTCCTCTAGTTGACACTGGCACGAACACCTTTGTAATAATAATAATAATAATAATAATAATGATAATAATAATAATAATAATAATAATAATAATAATAATAATAATGGAAAGAAATAAAAAATTGACCCCGTTTCACTGCAAATGATGTTGAAAGATGATAGTCTTGCATCTGGAAAGAGTGAATGAAAGGTTTATTTGATGTTCTGCACGAGAAAATCAGTGAATAATATTCTGGAGGTGCTGCGTAAGACGTGCCTCGATGTGCGTGCAGCAGAGGCGAATGAGCGCATCAAGGCATTCTACGATGCGTGAGACACGAGCGCTATCTGGCAGTTATCTTGGAAAACGAAAGGGTGGCCTCTGATATAGCAAGAACGCGGCATGTGCACCCATCTCGGAGGAGATAATGTGTAGAATGCAAGACCACAGGTAGGTGCCACCCCTGTGTCGTTTTAGTAAAGCGCAGGAAACACTCCCTATTTTGTGCATAGCGTTGCATTGTCAGCCCAGCGTGATAAATGCTACAGTCTTTAGAATTACTTATGTATGCCTTCTGTAGTATGAGGAAACACACCATAGAATATTGACCTGTTGATATTGTGCATCAGGTATGTGCAATATTTGCTTTTTCATCGACAATCGCACAAGTATGAACGCCGCAACCAGGGCAATATTGGTGGGCGCTGCGGATAGGGTTGGATTTTGGCTGTTTCAAGCGTCGTTTTGGGGGACAGACAGACAAGTCTACCGACAGACAGACAGACAGACAGACCAAATTTTTTGCGTCGAAGTATCCCAAGAAAGACTATCGTCCTTAAAATGCCCTGTCAGCGTGGAACACTCAGCGCAGTCACAGCGAAAGTGGAAGGAGCAGCCTTTCCAGAGCCTGCTTTAAACTCCCTTGGGACGACACTGCTAGTACAGTTGCATGGTATCCTCTACACCATAAATCATCATAATTTTGTGAATTAGAAAGTACCCACTATGCCATTATTCACCATTCTGCGGAGAAGTGACGTGCCCGCTATACGTCAAGGTATTATGTGCACTTTTGATGATCCTGTGGCTCATAATGATAAAGAATTATGGCAGAAGCCATTGTTATGCTTTTAACGTGACTCCTTGCCCAATGTGACTCCTGTGTAGGGTTTATTGCGATGGAGTTTCAAGTGCCGGCATGGCTGTGTGGTAGACTGCCCCGCTGAGGCCCTGGGTTCGAATTTCATCCGATTCGAGATAATTTGTTGTGCACAAGAGTGGCTACAGACACCAGCTGCGATGAACATTGTGCCACCAAAATTGACTGTTGTGATCTCATTACAGGTTTCGCTCAAAAAAAAAAAAATGTGGCCCTTACACAAAAGTATACTATATGTTAACCCCATGTGAAATAATGGTGTTAGTAACTTCCCACTGTGTGGACGAATGCAGGGCAGTGGCAGCACAACTGGAGGGCCCGTACCACCACCTCGACCCCCGGGCAGCACAGCAGGGGCTGGGGCCAGCCTGCCAGGTGCCAGCAGCAGTGTACCCACGGCCTATAATGACAAGGTGGTGGCCTTCCTCAGGCAGCCCAACATTCTCGACATCTTGCGCGAGCGCCACCCGGCAATAGCATCCAACACTGGCTTGCGCGACCGCGTGCATGCCATCCGTGCAGAGGGAACTGCCGCCTTGGGGCGGCTCTCACACGACCTCGACCTCACCATCTTGCTCAGGTGCCCACTCGCCTCTGCCTTATGCTTGCCAAAGTGCTTGCAACTTGTCACTGCCACGACCTTCTCATAAGTCGCACCCTTTCAGGCGCGACCTATGAAGAATTTTTTTTTCCCTTTTTTTTTCATTTTTATTCAAGGCAAAATCGTTACGCTTTGCCTGGGGGACATGACTAAAGGCTAAATAAATGCCTGACTAGGTCGTGCCACTCTGGCAGCAAAAGCATAGACACACCAACAAGCATTTGTTGTACAGAATACACGTACATAATCATCCAGATTGATTACAGGAATGAAGAAAATTTTAAGTTCACAAATAATACAGAATGGCCTGTAAATGCATTATATATAAGTAACAATATTTCAACTCTTGAACTAATGTTACATTATTGCAATAAAAATAACTTCATAATATGCTAATTTGTGTTTTATGATTGATCATAAATAAATAGTGAATGAAGGCATACTTATTCTGTACTCTTTCTGCCCAATGTGACTCCTGTGTAGGGTTTATTGCGAAGGAGTTTCAAGTGCCAGCATGGCTGTGTGGTAGACTGTTCGGTCTTTGCATAATTAAAATAAAGTGAATTGTTCCATTCAGAGTAACCTTCCTTTATTTATTATACTTTCGTTGCTTGTTCACTGTTCTTTCAGCCTGTTTGAGCAGGAGATCATGTCATACATTCCGGCCCAGTACTCCTCTGGGAGCAGTTCTAGTCATCGCTCTCCGCGGGATTCTCCTCAGCCTTCTCCGCAGGCCTCACCAGGTGAGTAGCACAGGAAGTGCGGGCGTCTTATTATATCAAAGGTTGTACTCTCCTTTGAAGTCTTAAACCGTCTTTGACAGTATGAGCATGCCTTGTATTGCATAGAATCCCCACTCGCCGGAAGCATGCTATGATTGACACTAAATCTGCAAAGGGTTGCAGACTTAATATTGTCACGTTTATTATTTTGCGACCCAGTCATGGAACCTTGCGTACCTTAGCTGAAATGACAATGAAAAACGTCTTTGTGTGCAGCCGTGCTAAACCAGCATAGGGGAATATTTGGTTGTACATATATAGTATGTGTGTATACCATTGAAAATGCAGTAAAGTTCAGTAATACCTCATTAACTCGAAGTTTAAAAACCAAGAAAAATTTCTAGATAAGCGGATTTTCGAGATAAGCAAAGTTGCGCAAATCGTTGAGAAAAATCGAGCGCTTTTTAGCAAAATCACTACTACTTACCGGTTCTTCAGCAGCAGTTTCTAATGTTTCTTTTCTTGAAAGATTAAAAGAGAAAAAAATATCACACAAGAGACGTTATCCAGCTGGATTCTGCAGCACTGCCATTTTATTTGGCGGAGAAAAACTCCCTAATGCTCGTCTGCTTGTGCTCAGGCCTATGAAGGCGTCCTCCGGCTGCTTCACGCATCGCATCTGACTATCTTCTCCGCCGCTGCACTCCATCATCAATGCTGTGGGGACGGGAAGGTTGGCTGCTCTGGCACTTCGCAGCCACACCATCAACGCTGCTTCAACGTCCGGGAACTTTGAACCTCGAATCCGCTTCCGCTGGCTGTAGAAGCTCTGCTGATATCCGTCGAGCACCTTCTGCTTGTTTTTCAGCAAAGGGATGCCAAAACACCTACGCGATGGTTGATTTCGTTTGGCCTCCTTTCTCCGCTTCCTTAATTAGGGCAACCTTCCTTTCTAGCATTAGCGACTTGCGCCGCTGCTTTTGTGACACCATGCTTGCCACACTCACGCTAAGTCGCCGCTCCTCAAAGTTAGCGTTCAATCCGTACCACAGATTAGACTGAACGGAAATCACTTCTTAGAAAAACAACGAGCGCTGCCAAATGAAAGAGAAAAATGGCGCGACTACGTCAAGCGTGGGACAAAGAGCGAGGCCTGCTGCGCAGAAGTCAGATGACGTGCCACAGGGTTGCTCGACAAAGTGAATATGCCCCTAGGCTCAGCGGCAGGTGCGGTTAAACAAGAAATAAAAAAGTAAAAATTTGACAGATTTCAGGCGTAGCAACATAACGCGAATCTTGTGTAATGGCCTGGTGGCGAAATTTTAATTGCACTCCCGCTCAAGATTCTGATATATCCGCAATCTGATCCAGAAATACTTCGAGATAAAGGGAAAAAAAGGCATGGAGTGTAACGGAGAAGGTTCGGTGCAATGGAAAATTTCGGCTTAGCCGATATTTCGAGATATACGAGTTTGAGTTAACGAAATATTACTGTATGTAAGCTGAATTTCACTGTTCACTAGAAAAATAATTCGACTTGCGAAGGTCAGCTTTTTGTTTTGTTTTGTTTTTATCGTTCAACATGTGCATAATGCTGAAGGAGGGAGTGCTGTCGGGAATGTCACCACTATTTGATATACTTCGGTGTGTGGCTGTACCACATTGCCCATACATATACAATGCTAGATGTGTCAATGTAAAGCAAACTAACAATGTCGCAATATCTCTTTTACAGGCCTACAAAGGGCTAATCTTAGGGCTCCAGCACCTTATCGGAGGGATTTTGAAGCCAAACTTAGGAATTTTTACCGAAAATTAGAATCCAAAGGCTACGGTCAAGGACCCAGCAAATTAAAGTAAGTACTGTCACTTTTGTAGCATGCTTCATCGGCTCTCTAAGTGAATTGCAAAACCTTGTGCTGGTCATAATCTACATCTGCACTCGCTAGGATTGGGGCTCCCATGAATCGTAGGGTTTTATTTGAATGATGAAAGTTTGAATGAAGTAGGATGGAAGGCATAAATACTACAAACTGATGAAAAAAACTGGGCTTGTTCGAGCAGTAGTACGGCAGGAGTTGTTATACTAAAAAGCATCTCCGACAACTCCGCCGGCAGATTCAGATTGAATGGAAACGGCTTTGCATTTCTAGAGTTCTAGAGATGTTTGCTACCCCTCATGCAAATTCAACCACATAGATGTTTAATATTGTTACACTGTTTGAAGAAGTACACTAAACAAGCTTAGAGCAATGTTTCACTATACTTTCATTGTTTATTCAACAAAATGCCCTACTTTCCTATGCAACTGTAACATCAGCAAGGTAAGGAACAGTTTTACAAGCAACCCATTCACATATGCAATAGGGCCTCTTCTGAAGAGACATTACCGTAATTACTCGAATCTAACGCGCACCTTTTTTCCGGTTAAGCGAGTTCATAAATCGCATGCGCGTTAGAATCGAGTACGAACGAAAAAATTACGGTCAATCTATTGCCATCGGCAAATCCAAAATGGCCGCCCCCTACGTGCGTCGGCATGGCGCGTCGGCCATTTCTGCCTATGTGTTTCCCATGTGCGGCACTTCGTACGTGTGCTGAGGAGTTCGTCATCTAGTAGTGCATTAGCATCGACGGCGTGGAAGGGCCGACTGCAAAAACTCGAGTGCACCACGATGCCCCTTTTAAAAGAAAAGTCATCGCGTGTGCAGAAAAAGACGGAAATCGGGCCGCATCGCGGTCGTTCGGAGTTCCCGAAACGTGCGTGCGGGACCGGCGGAAACAAAAGCAGAAGATTGTCGACAGCAAAGCTTCTTGCAAAGGCTTCAGTGGACCACTGCAGGGTCGGTTTCCACAAATTAAAGAGCTGCTCAGCGAGTATGTGCTTGAGCAGCGAGCGGCACAGCGGCCCGTGACGACAGAACTGCTCCAAGCACGGGCTATGCAATTAGTCTCAGAAAAAGGTCTAATGCGGAGCCAGTTTAAAGCGAGCAGGTGCTGGCTAACTAGCTTTATGAAAAGGAACGGCTTTTCTCTCCAAAGGGGAACATGCATATGCGAAAAGTTTTGCGGAGGAGTATGATGAAAAGCTTCACAGTTTTCAGAGGTTCGTCCTAAACTTGCGGCACAACAATGGCTACCTGCTTGGGCAAATCGGGAATGCCGATCAGGCGCCTCTTTACTTCGACATGCCTGGCACCACAACCGTCGAGAAGGGGGCGAAGCAAGTTCGCGTGCTGACATCGGTCCACGGTAAAACTACAGTAACGGAAATGCTCTGTTACACGTCAGATGGGCACAAGCTTCGCTCGTACCTCATATTTAAATGGAAGACGCTCCCGAAAGGAGTCGTTTTTTCGAGTGGTGTGATCGTGCGGGCCAGCGAGAAAAATGGGTGCGCGTTGCAATCGATGTCTTACGTTTTTTGTTTTTTTTTTTCGCTGTGGAAATCAGGTGTGCGTTACAATCGAGGGCGCGGTAGAATCGAGTAAATACGGTAATTTAATTCACGAATTGCCACTAAACCCTGCTGCAGGCAGGCAACAAAAGCAGCCCAGAAAGACGTTTTTAAATATGTTGACATATGTGCTTCCTTTTCTTACTAATTTCATCAACTAAGGCTGTTATACTTGTAATTATTGTAAGCTGCCCCTGAATGTATCGGAACACTCTGTATTTTTCTAGATTTTTCTAACTAGACTACACGCGCAACATGAACAGTAGGGTAGATTCTGGAACAGCCATGCACACCAGCGCTGGTGCTGGAATTTACCGTGACTGTTGTATAGAAAGCCAACATGTCAGATTGCAGACTGTATTTTTGCCAATCGATGAACGTGTCTGCCTCTATCATGGCACTGTTTTGTTTTACGGCCCATGTGATTCGGCAATTTATCTGCAGGTTAAACATTCGTCGAGACCACCTGCTCGAAGATGCATTTACGAAGATAATGGCTGCGTCCAAAAAAGATCTTCAAAAGTCTCGACTCTACATAGGATTTGCCGGTGAAGAAGGGTGAGGTTTTGCTTTTTAAGCTGTTTATTTATGGTATTTGGAGGGGGGGGGGGGGGCTTAGCTAACTAATTATTGAGCATTGATGCATTTGAGATGTTTGTAAAGGAGGCAGGTAAGCCTGGTGTTTTTACAGGATCGTGAAGTACTTTGTGAAAGCCATGGTCAAGTACAACATAGAATGTCACCATATCCTAATAAGCAGAGTAGTGGAATTTTGTTGCTGCTACCCAGGTTCAGTTCTCGTGTTGTAACACTTTTTGAGCTTGGTCAGCAAACGCTGCCGATTGGTAGTAGAGGCTCCCGACAACACGCGAGCCAAGTATTATAGCACAGCACGCGGCCTGGAATTCACAATAAATTATCAGTCAGCTAAAAACTGCTTTCTCTTCTCTCGACAAATGACGTTATAAACCCGAACATCACACGTCAACGACCCATCTATCAGCCATTGGCTGATTTGAACATGGCGCGCTCGCTCTTTACAGAGAATGCCACGGGAGGCCGCTACTTGTCCATGCATGCGCGCGCAATCACACTAAAACAGCCGCGCATTCAAAGGAAAAAAGGAGGAAAAAGTGCTCACGGTCACGATGCACGCGTGACGTTTTTCTGTGGCCCTGCCATCCATCCCTGCTTAGCTTCCAGTGCTTTTGTTGGGATGAGGGAAAAGAGAATGCAATTGCTGCATGCGACAAACCTTTGCAACTCCACTCACACTGGACGGATTCTTGAAATTTTTGCGGCGTTGAATTCGTGAGGCAATAAGCTCTTCCAGTGAATTCATTCCATGGTTACTTGAAAAAGTCTTTCAGGGCCCCTTTAATGCTTCAAAAAGTTATTCCAGTTCTCGCAGTATGGCTCTTTCGGCATCATATTTTCGTTTAGAAGAGACTCATATTGTTGTGAACGATGTGTATGCTAGCACCCATTGCTGATTACCCTCTCTGGGATAGCAATGCTACATATGTTACTTGCTTTTATTTATGTTTTTGTCTTAAATTTAGTGTCTAGGCATGAGAAGGGGTTGGGCTATTTTCAAACTTTGTATCGGAGTACCAGTAATTCAACAAAATGTAAGGGTTCAAAAATCAACCTTCAAGGAGTGTGCTGCAATGCCTTGGGTGATGGAGTTGCATAGTGCAAGCCGAAAATCATTAAGAGACCATACTTGCAGGAGAGAGTGGAAGGTTTTGATGACTGTGTAGCTCTCGCCTACGATGTGCCAAGTGGTACTGGAGTAGACTCTCATTAATTCGAGCTTGAAGGGACCATGATCATTTGTTGGTCTTATCAGAAGTTCAACTTATCAGAAGTGCCCCCAAAAAACAAATACTAACGTGCCAAGTACGTCCAAATATGTGGCTTGAAAACACTGAATGGGGTTTACTTACAACGAAAAGGAAAGAAACAAGAAAAAGCATTTACTTGGATCAGTTTGATAAGAACTATGCCTTCAATAGAGTATTTACATTAATCAAATAAGCACTCAATTTTGAGAGTTCATAATATTGTCACAGGTATAAAGAGGTACCTCTGGCACGGGCACAGAAATGACACGGAATGAAGACGACAATGTTGTTGTGGGGCTGTGTATAAACTGCCCTGTTGTCTTGCATTTCTGTGCGCTGTGTGCAGTGCTAACTCGACCGGCGTTAACTCATCAAGTGCTCCCCATTACAATATATATGCACATGAATAAATTGCTACTATGTTTTAACAATAAAACTATAGTACGACCCTATCTTTCCTTCTAGCCAAGCTCTTGTGTTCTGTTCTCTATTGCACTCCTGTTGGGGAACTGGAGAACGTGCTGGGAATGCAAAAGGACGCAATGGCCTGAGGGTACCTGTAGTTAGCCCTGTTAGATGGTTCGGCTGAATGCTTTATGCAGCGACCTTTCTTTTTCTCTCGCTCCCTCTCTACACGTCACGATTTGGTTTGTATCTCTGCACCAGGAAAGGCTTTTTTTTTTTTCCTTTCTCTCGCTCACCTGAATGCCCCAGACTACAATGTTCGTTGCGCAGAATCGCTGCGTTGTCACGCTGCGAGAGTTTTTCTTGACCGATTGGCTTCCGCGGCCGGCAGTTCGCCGGCCAGGTTGGTGAGGCCAAAAGTGCTTTGACAGGAGCAGCTCCGGCTGCCTAGAAAATGTTTTTTTACATTGTTTCATAGATGGCAGCACAGTACTTTGTGTTTGCTTTTTGCTTGGTATATTATCCGCTAGATGGACATAGCTGTCCAGGTTTTAGCTGTTTGAAAATGGTTTTTCTTTCTTCAGAGGCTAAGGGTGCACTATTGTGGGTTTTTCGAAACACGGCGTCACGGAAGAAACGCGGTTTTACGGATGAAAAAATAGTGAATCTTGTGTTCGACAGTAACAAAGAAAGTGACATTTGTGATGAGGACGATGTTTTGTTTGACAATGGGGGACTGCCGAACTGATGAAAGTGGTAGTGATAAAGAAGAGAATCTGTGTTCAGCGGATGCCTCCATGGATGCTTCGCAGAAATTTCCAAAGAAGTGCAGGATTGAAAACAGGCGAAGGGAAGAAAATGACAGTGTTGAAAAAATGTCGAGCACCTTTTCAACGGCCAACCAGGTATCAAGAGATCCATAGAGCTTCAAGTAGGTGCGAATCCAAGTGCCCTTGAAATGTTGAACGCACTTCTTGGAGAAGAGATTTGGGGAATAATTGCTTTGCACACAAACGCCTTTGAAGTGAGAATCAGCGCTCGCATGCCGACCCCTCATGGCATGAAACAACACCATGTGAATTGAAAGCTTATTTTGCCATATGCGTGTTAATGAGCCAAGTGAAAAAGAGCAGCATGCAGTCCTTCTGGTCAACAAGACCTGTCATCAGCACACCATTTTTTGCCACTGTCATGTCGAGACATCGCTTCTGGGCACTGTCACGCTATCTGCATTTCTGCGGCAACAGCATTCCCCAAAATGAAGAGAGGCTCTGGAAGATACTGCCTGTCCTTGTTGCGCATTTCACATGTATAGACGCCTGACGTGATTCTACGCTTGTACCACTTAATGTTGCGTGGATTGAAGAAAGTCCTTCTACTGCATGAACAAAAGAAGTGTAAACATATGGCCTCGCTTTTTTTGGCTGAACACAACATTAATGAGAACTTCTACTACATGAAATTCATATTGCTTTTTTTTTTCGTATCAGTTTCAGCCATTGGCATGCCTCTTTGGTATAACACTTGATTGCCACACAGAGAGCCTGGGATCGATTCTCACTCATACTGAAGTTTTTTGTTTTTGATTGGCAGGGTTTTTCTCTCTCTCTCTCTCTCATGGACAGGATACTGTCTTGTCACTCGCAACCGGAGATGCTGACAGCGACGCTAACACCGTAATTTTTGTGAAACAAGCTTGGTAAAGCTATCATGTTCAAATAATATGCGAGGTATCAAATTTGTAAAAATAAGTATATGTGAAGAGACAGCCATTTATCCTACAACTTAATTTGAGAGCATGATCAAAGCACACACTGAAAGGTAGTTCTAACCTCCAACAAAAATAACCCGTGAGAGTGACCAGACGATGGAAACCATTCAAGACCATGTTACTATAGTAGAACTTTTAAATCGGGCGTAGTAAAGTGAATCAATCGCATGTCATCATTTAGTCTTGATTGGGGTAAAAATCAATTATGTTGACCGTGACAGACCTCAAAAAAAAAAAAAACCCGGTGCAACTCAGAAGGTGCTACCAAGTTTTGCGTCGCGAAGATAGAAAGCTCACTGCCAAACGCAGTCTATGACGTTCAGTGTGAGAATGACGGCATCGTAATGCACTATCATCATGTTTTGCTGAACAAGAAGTCTTGATCTCACATGGAAAGTGGAAGCCCGCACCGGTACCCATCTGCGCTTGTTCCCAGCAATTTCACACCATATATTGAAGCCGAAATGTGCATAACCAAAGTGCCACTCCCCCCCCCATCCCCTTGTGAACGCATGGCGCCCCTCGAATGCTCAGTTCCCAGTTTGGAGTAGCCACCAGAAATAGAACAGCAAGACAAAAGGAAGTAAGACACAAACGTATGTGTTGCGTTGTTTTGCCAGTGACCACGTTTTGTTACATTTTTTTCGTATCACAACAATAGATATTTTTCCCAGTCGCAGTGTTTTCATTTCTGAACCTAGAGCAGGCAACGATGGCACATTCCTGTGTCACTTCTCGGTGCAGTGAAGTGCTCTAAGAAGTAGCCCACCATGAGTGTACTGCATCTGTGGGTAACTTCGTTAAAAATTGAATTAGTGACAACGTGCAAAGAGGGCCTCTAGCATCTCGTACAAGTACCCTTGGAACAGGTGTACCCGAACCAAATGAAAGTGCACTCATTCAGATGAGGTGTTTTCAAGAAGGCTGCTTAGATCATGCTTTACACGGCCTTATTTCTACATTAAAAGCAATTAAGAAAACTGTCGAGAGGCTTTTCACGAAAACCCCCTGGTTGATGACCTCCTTTGAATTGTGCTTGAAAAGTTGGAGTGGCTGCCACTGCATCTTTTAAGTTATACCACTCATCATGAGAATGTGCGAGTCATGTTCATGAATATTCGTTTTTTTTTTTTTTTGCAAGAAAACCAATCAGGAGCTTTCTGAAAAGGTAGAAAATGCGAGAAAGGAGGTGAAGTTGGTCCAACATTTTCCACTCTGCTCTCGATTGATAGCCCTCGCGAAGACTCGTCTGATGAACAGTGTAAAGCACGGGTACTGTTTCTTGATGAAAGTCTTCTATTTTTTTGTAACTAGTAGAAAACATCAGTACTGTTTTTATAGAGCATTTCTGTATTTAAGTAAGTCAACTTGTTTGAGGCTTTTACAGACGTTTTGGGCCGTTTTTCGTCTAGGCCAGTGACTGTGGTTAAAATGCTAGCGGTCATCATAAAATTTTTACGCTGAAAATGCACATTCACGTAGAATTTCTTGTACTTGAAGGTTAAACCGAATGAAGACAGCACAAATATAGGCAGAACATTGATTCTTAGCCTGTTTGCTATGAGCAACACATCCGGGCCAATCTATACAGGAGACATTGTCCAGTCCACAAATGCGACGGGAGAAAATAGACTGGAAACTCATGATGAATGGGTAAGTTGAATAACAGTACAACAGGGAAGCCAGTGCGAGGAACAGCACAGCGAACCGCCGCGGTACGCCGCCGTAGCAGACGATGTGCCGACAGTAGCGCGAGATCGGACTGCGGGGCCGCTAGTTCTCGCGACCGCTGTTCGGCCCATCCTTTTCCGCTGGCAAAGATGCGGAGCTTTGAAACTGAGTTTATTCTAGTAACGTTGCACCTAGGTGTGTTGGGGGGAGCTCACAGCAGCTGCGGCTGGTGAGAGTGTGACGTCAACGCGCAGCTGCGACTTAACATACTTGGCACCGTTCCAACAACTGCGGCAGGGGGGACGCAGTGTGGCGCGTTGGCGCGGCATTACACAGGCTGGTCAAAGAGCTGCTTCGCATCTAGAAAGTGTTTACTCGCATATTTTGTGCTCCCTGACCCGGCCGAGCCAGCTTGCTGTGGCGCACGGAGAAACTGTAGATCTTTGGATTCTTCGAATGGGCGCGGGCCCTGCCGATAAGGCGAGTGCAGTCAAACGGGCTGCGAGCGCGAAGTCGCTTCTTCGGAAGACTCCCCTCAAACATAGTACCTAGAATACCGCGCACAAACACTCAAACCTGTTGACAGATCGTCGGAACTGCTCGAGCGGTTCCCTCTCCATTTATTCATCTCTACCACCGTGTGGATGCATGCTCGCGTCATGGCACGCATCACCTTCGGCATCAGAGGCATGCAAGGGCTTGTTGGGCCTGTTGCGCCAACTGTTCCCCTCGTTCTCTACGTCCATGCTGCAATGCATGCTTGGTGGATTTTGGAAGTTTAGGCTCCGCCATTCGTCCGTCGCGTCTTTACTGTTGTCTTGCAATGGGCTACAGTAATTAAATATATGGCAAAATTTAAGCTCGCTGTCGTAAAATTTATCAAAAAAAAAAAACCGGGAATCGTGCCACTGCCAAGCACTTCAGCGTGAAGTTCCCCAGTGTGTGACGATCAGCGCGATCGGTATAAGAAAAAGAGAGCGCACGCTTGCTGATTCAAGCATCCTGCTGTTGAAGAACTTTTCAATTATGTGGGAATGTTTAGGTCCTCTGGTATCGCTGTGTTGTGAGACTTAGTTTCTTTCAGCATTAGTTTCTTCCAGCATTGTCGAGAACAGCATCGAGAAAATCGGACATTCGAACGTGCTTGGACAGAACCTAAGGTCATGCACTTTGGAAGGGCGGTGGCAGCGGCCGCAATGATGATTCTCAATCAGGCCTCTCGATCAACTGCTCCGATCAGACCTTGCGTGACTGGATCTGACTGGTTAAATTACATGCTAATTCGTACACTTCATTCGTGGTTCAATTTATTTAATTTTTGTTTAATGTATATACCTTGTGCGTTAAGACTATTGCACATTATTTCGTATACATTTGCGAAATCCCTGTGTAATTTGCAGACCCCCTTCTTGGAGCCCCAGAATCGCAAAAAGTGTGCAAATCATGCGAGTAAATACGGTAGCACGTTGCACTACCGTAAAAACCGGAATATAGGTAGGACAGGAATGTTGGTCGACCCCTCAAACTTCGAATCTCTAGAACAGAAGTTTGAAAAAAAAATTGCAAAGTATTGCGGTGCACCCTTACCTTGATAAATATACGACACAACCAGCTGCACTGTGGTGACATTTTTTTTATTTGGACACTAATCTTGCGTAGTTAAATGCCTGAATGCCACAAAGGGCCTTCTGGCATTTCAACCAGAAGTCACTCAGACTCATCCAAACTTGAGTCGGACAACGCCTGCTTCTCACTAGTAATGTCCCAGTGTGCATTGTCCGCCATTCCATGCAATGTGCTGCTGATGCAGCATTTGGGGAAAGACTTGCACACCATCTCTTCTGCGAGAGATTTCCATCCTGACGACACCAAGCCACTAACGGTCGCAAGCGGTGGACGTCGTAGGCGGCCAGCGAGGGTCCTGGTATTCTCGCCCAGCATCCACTCATTGCAGAGCTTGCGCACGTGATCTTTAAGAGGTTTATTTAGCACTTTATCTAGTGGCTGGAGGATTGATGTTAGTCCGCCAGGGATTATGACAAGGTCCGTCTTGCCATTGGACAGGGCTTCTTTTCCATCGGTCATTAGGTGGCCTTGAAATGAGTCGAGGACCAACATGCTCGGCCGCTGAGAAAGCGCACTGGGTCGCCCATTCCACAGTGAGCCAGATCTACTCAAGCATGAGGGACCCATTCATGAGCACTTTTTCGTTCGCTCTCACAATCACATCCAAGGAAAGTCTTCTTTCGATAGCCCTTTTCTCTTGAAAATTATATAATGGGGCAGCGTCCTTCTATAGGCTATGCACCCGAGCATCACTGTAAATCGCGAATGCTTGTTGCTCGTTGTCAAGAGCTTCACTTGCTTTGATCCTATAACAGTCTCAATCGTGTTCGAGGGCATACAAAACCAGATCGGAGTTTTGTCAGCGTTGTCCATGTGTCTCATCACGTAGCAATGCTGCCGATGAAGCTCTATGACGAAGCGCGGATACTCGACCAGCTTGTGATAAAAACCTTCGGGCTGTTAATGGCACACGAAAGTACACCATTGCAGTGCAAAGCCTTCCATTTCGTGAATAGGTGCACCCACAATGGCGAGCCTTGTAATTGCGCTCTCATTAGCCCAGAGTCGCGTGCTATCTCGAGAGCTTTCGTGCGGATGCACTGCAGTCCGTCCACGAAACGAGAAGTTTTTTTTTTTTTTTTGATTGCTGCAGGATGTGATGCACTGCTTTTCTCCTCCAGTATCGGACGCTTTTCTCACTGAATTCTTGTTGCGCTCGGCCAGGTTGCCGTGCACTTAGGCATACTTAACAACTTCTTTCTTAAAGCCTATCATGAGCTGCTGTCAAGTACCACTCATTTCTGAAGGAAACAGAAAAAAAAAAACAGGATAACCAAAAAAAAAAAAATGCGATGTCCAACGGTGCTGCTGATTCTCACAATGGCAATGAAAGCTTCTAACTTCAGCTGCCCATTTTTGCAGAACTTCGACATTTTTTTCTGCCAATGACCGGTATATGACAAGGGTGGACTACATTCATTGCATTTTTATTTTAATTTGACCTATGTTTCAGTTTTTATGGTACTTTGAATAATATTCTTACATGAAAGTGTGTAACTTTTTTTTTCTTTTATATATACTGACCTATATATGCTATTTTTCAATTGGATCAGCTCTCTGCATATATCTGTACTTTTATATGTACCAAACTTTTGCTTTTGAATGTGAAAAGCAACACACAAAAAGGGTTGTAGATTTATGTGGCTTTTTTGTTATTTCTCCCGGTGAAGTGAAATAAAACACTTTTTTCTTTTCGTGTTCGTGCAGGCTAGACTATGGCGGACCAGTCCCGAGAGTTCTTTTTCCTGCTATCGCGGGAGCTCTTCAATCCGTACTACGGCCTGTTTGAGTATTCGGCCAACGACACGTACACCGTACAAGTGAGCCCCATGGCAGCCTTTGTGGACAACCAGCACGAGTGGTTCCGCTTCAGTGGTCGGGTTCCTTGGCTTGGCTCTGGTGCACCAGCACTTATTGGATGCCTTTTTCACTCGGCCGTTCTACAAGGCCCTGCTGAGGCTGTGAGTATTGCTCTTCTTCGTAATGTTGTTACCAGGCACAGAGCATCGACAGCACTTGAAGTGTAGACCAAAGAGCAAGGGAAGGTGTGTAAGAGTAGAAATAGTGTCGTAGAAAGTTACTAGTACTAATGCTGTTGTTAGCGTCTATGGACACAAGTCCTGTTGTAATGGCAACAATAGTGTAGGCAAATTTAAATATGAAATAGAGCGATCGTGGAATAATGTAATGCTGTTAAATCTTGATAATATCGAACTTCAGTATTACCGAGTTTCAATGTAATGAAATACTTTCAATGCAATGAAATACTTCACTTTTTTATTGAGATTTTCACAGTACGCCATGTATCTTTAACCTTTGCGTAATGAAGAGTGTTTTGTCTGTAATTTCAAGTTTCACTGCTGCTGCAGTTGAAAACAGGCAATATATTGAAGCTGCTCCTGGCACGAACACTCCGTGAACATGTCATCAATTCGTGTGGGCATTGCAAATAAGAGTAGTATGTTGCTTTCTTCATTCTTTCTTACAGATGTGACTGTCTTCTGTATTCTGAATGTGTTCTGTAAGATTTTTATTTCTTTTTATTTTCTTGAATATTTGTGCTGTCTCTGCTTGCATTGTAGAGGTGTCTGCAGACTTCTGTCAAGTTCCTAGTTTAAAGTGACTATTACTTGCGGTCTCCTCCTTAAATGATGGAAATGAAATATATATATATATATATATGATTAATATTATTATTATCATAGTCATATGGTTGTAACACGTCATTTTTGCACCTGTACTTAGAACAAAATTGGTGTTATCTCTCTGTGCACTTGAGTATGATTAGTATGTGCTACTACACTAATGTGTTTCCAGTTGTTGCCATTACCACTCAGACAAAAGTATTGTCAATACTTGCATTAGATATTCATTATTTGGCCAACCAGGAATCTAACTGATACAGGCTGTAAGAATGGAAATGAAGGCATGCCATTTTGCATCTAGGCACGTGGTAGGACTGTTCAGCTAGACTAGTTCTCTCATACGTTGGAAACAGTAGTTTCTTCATTTTGAGGCAAAGTAGGCTTCCACCAGTGGCGAGGGCCATGTTATGCGGAACAACATGCAATAAGAGAAGTCCAAATTTTTATGTTCCAGTGAAATGGGGTTTCGTGCAATCGTACACGTTATGCTTTCCATGCCGTTTCGTATGCAGACCTTGCTCACTGAGCGACTTGGAGTACCTGGATGCGGAGTTCCACCAGTCATTAGTGTGGCTCAAGGAGAACGACATCACCGATATGGGCCTTGAGCTGAGCTTCTCCGTCGTTGAAGAGGTGGCTGGTCATGTGCTCGAGCGCGAGCTCAAACCCGGCGGCCGCTCTGTGTCAGTCTCCGAGCGCAACAAAAAGGAGTACATCGAGCGTATGCTCAAGTGGCGCCTCGAGCGGGGAGTCGCCCAGCAGACCGAGTGCCTTGTGAGGGGATTCTACGAAGTGAGTGTAACATGGCTGTATCACTCTATGGCGATAGCTTTTGTGGGCTCCTCCCTGGCTTAAAATTGCTCATCATTGAATTGTCAGCATTTAAGCTATTGCAGAATATTTAAAGAAATAGCCTTTTAGTTAGTTATCGCCTTACATGTGCAAGTCGCTGAATTGCAGCTCACGCATGTTGGACAGTTCTGCTTAATTACCCTCCACACACGTAATGTCGCCCTCCCCCCTTTTTATTTCTTAAGATGATGTAATGTGATGTGCATTGACTTGTATGGACAGCACTTTTTGGAAACATATCGGAAAGCTACAAATGGCTGAAAGCTAGCCTACGCTAAATTGATGCCTTATTCGAAGCCATCAATCTGCATGATAATATGTCCTTTCTCAATTGAAATTTAATTTATATCAGCTGCTGACATTTACATATAAATTATATGGCCTCAAGAAAGTACTTGTCTCTGTGGTCTAATTTTATTCGCATAGCATATCTACAGTTGAGTTGGACCTTCAATACAATAACAATGAAAAGTCATGTATAATCAGGCTATTTTGTCTTTTCCTATTTAATCGGTATAAAAAAAATATTGGAAAAATTTAAGGTATAAAATTTGATTGGTCTGTATTCATTTGACCTGTAATAGCACATGCGCTTTTTTATCCTTATTTAAAGAAAAGCAGTGTGCAAGCATCAACTCATGGGAGGGAATGAAGTACACTCAAACCTCGATATAAGGAATCTGATATAACAAAATGTCGGTTATGACGAAGGAAGTGATGAAGTAATCTTGCAATAGATATAGTGTTAGGAATATATCTTTATAACAAATTTCCGGATATAACTAACTTAATTTTTGCATAAGATGCAACTTTTTTATAATGAGGTTAGAGTGTAGTATCATATTTGGCCTGTAGCTTAACGTTGGTTCAAGATGGGGTTGGAGGTTCATAGATTGGTCATGGTGCTTACCTTCAGTGTTCCCTTCGTTTGCTAGAGGTATGCACGATATAAAATTGGCTAAAATTGACATTTTCTCTATGGTTACGTTTTTCATCTTCAAAAGGTTGTTGACTCCCGCCTGGTGTCAGTGTTTGATGCCCGAGAGCTAGAGTTGGTGATTGCCGGCACAGCAGAAATAGACACAGCAGACTGGCGGAAGAATACGGAATACCGATCGGGTGAGTGAAAATCTGTTTCGCTTGAACCTGTTTATATTACATACGCACGGGGTAGCAGTTCTTGTTCATTATATGTGTCGTCTCTCATGAGCAGGGTACCGAATCCTCAATTTCTGGTCAGCCCCTATTTTTATGCCGCCTCCCTGCTGTCTCTCTTACATTAGTGGAGATACAATTATTTGTTAGGCTAGCAGACACAAGCATCAGACAGCACTGATGCTGTTGTTGTCATAGTGATGGTCACCCTAAACTGTGAATCTCGAGTGAGACGTTTTGCGGTGCAGGCTACCACGACAGCCACCCCGTCATCCAGTGGTTCTGGATGGCCATTGAGAAATTCGACAACGAGCGCCGACTGAGGCTGCTCCAATTTGTCACGGGCACCTCGAGCATCCCGTACGAAGGCTTTGCTGCCCTGCGCGGAAGCAACGGACCTCGAAAGTTCTGCATTGAAAAATGGGGCAAGCCGACTAGCCTGCCAAGGTATGCACCTCTGTGCACTTGTCACTCCTCTCTTGCCTGTTTTCAAGGGCTTGTTAGATACCGCCCCTTTGTCACTAACTGAAGGCACGAGAACTCTGTCATTTGGCTTTTATGTTTTTTTTACTGTACTAGTGTTTTTTGTAGCATTGGGAATATTTGAACTTCTGAATATTTAATACTGTTTGCTATTGTATTCGATTTGCACTGAAATTTTACTATTTAAGCTATTTGAACTATGGAAAATAAGTATATAACACTGTGATAACAGAAAATCTGCAGTCAGCATGCTTGGTCGTGTGCTTTGGAGTGCTGGGGTGTGAAACTGCTAGCCACTACCACCGGTGCTCAGAGAAGTCTGCTCCCCGCAGGGGCGCCTGCGCAAGTAGGCGTTTGGTGTGTAGCGACACCACGGACCCGAGCTAACGGGGGAGTTTCGGCTCCCTCCCACGCCTAGCCGTGCGTGGCTTTGCCGTGTCCGGGGAAAAGGGGATCCTGGGGGTTGAGCTGACGCTGGGTGGTTGGACCGTTAAGGCCCCCCGGCAGAGGCAACACACCCCTTTGGCCCCGGCTTCACGTAGACGGCACCCCTGGGCTGACCCACCCAGGGGAAATCGGCAGTCGCCTTTTCCTATCTCTCTCTTCCTACATCTTCGTCTGTATCTCTCTCTTTTTATCTGTCCTGTCATCTTCTCTTTTCCGTTTACTTCCGAATTTCCTGGCGGCGAGGGTTAACCCTGTGTAGTTACCCAACCTTGGGTAGTTATATTCGGTTATAGCGGCGATGCATGGCTGGCGTCTCCAAGTGTTCACTAGTCAACCTTGTAGCGTCCCCTTGTTGGGCTCGGTGGTGGGTGGCCACCATCGCCGCCGAACTTTATAGTATTTTTATGGCAAAAGCTTTTCCCCTCCTTCCTGATCGCTCCCTAAAAAGGTGGCGCACCGATGATACTTTCCTGCTAAACACACCAAAGCCGACATTCCCAAAGTACCATGTAATCCACAGTCAAAACGAAAACAAGACAGTCCGAGCCATTTCACCTTTCCTCGTTTCCAAAACTCTCACAGAAGCAATAGGCCCAGGTTATAAAGTGACAAAGATGGGAAGTGGCGATCTTCTTTTGGAGGTACGTGACAAAGCCCAGTATGAAAAGCTGTCTAAGCTTGTAGCCTTTGGGGAAACCCCTGTTTCGGTGGGCCCACACAGGTCCATGAACACTGTCCGTGGCGTAGTTTCTGATGATGACCTTACTGAGCTTTCTGAAAGTGAGCTGCTCGAAGGTTGGCAGGACCAGAACGTGGTCAAAGTCCAACGAATAACAATAAGGCGCAACAACAAACTTACCCCTACAAAACACGTAATAATTACCTTCGGAACAAGTGACCTCCCAGAATCAATCGAAACCGGCTATTGTAAGCTTCGTGTAAGACCATACATTCCCAACCCTCGTCGATGTTTCAAGTGCCAACGTTTCGGTCATGGATCGCAGAGTTGCAGAGGGCGTGCTACTTGCGCAAAGTGCGCATCCATTCAACACATATCAGACAACTGCACCTCAGAAACATCTCATTGTTCGAACTGTGAAGGAGATCACGCTGCCTACTCACGATCATGCCCCGCATGGAAAAAAGAAAAACAAATAGTAGAACTCAAGGTTAAATTCAATCTCACATTCCAAGAAGCACGCCAACGTTTCTCAATACACAACCCGTCTTATCCCTCCTTTGCAGATGTGACGCGCCGGGGCGCCGCGCCACATGCCTCGGCACCCGCGAATGCCACACAGTGTGTGGCCGCGGTCGTGCCACCAGCGCCTCTGGCTGGAGCAGCCTGTACTGCTCCGCCCCCTGACAAACAGGGCCGGCAGACCCTAGTGTCTGCTGAACCTCGGACCACTGCAGGCGCAGTCAGGTCCGAAAGTTCAGTGAATGTGCCTGCCCAGCAGGCAACATCCACCACCTCACACGAAGTGATGGATACAAGTCCCACTCCTTCGGCGCCTCAGACGCCGAAGGATAGGCGCAACTCCTTGGAGCGCGCCAAAAAAGAAAAACCTCGAATCACAGGGCCCTCAAAAGGCCCTGTAAACTAACGCAACACCTCTGTATGCACAGCACCACACTAAATTAAAATGACACAAATACTACAGTGGAACGTCAGAGGACTGTTGAGAAACCTCGACGATATCCAGGAACTTTTACACAAACATACACCTAAAGTGCTGTGCGTACAAGAGACACACCTGAAACCGAAACACGCCAACTTTTTACGTCACTACATTATCTTTCGGAAAGACCGGAATGATGCCATTGTGCCATCCGGTGGTGTTGCCATTATAGTCAATCAAGGGATTGCATGCACACACCTAACATTACAAACATCCCTTGAGGCGGTGGCTGTTCGAGCAGTTCTATTGAATAAGCTCGTCACCATCTGCTCTCTATACATACCTCCACAACACCGTCTCGAAAAGCATGAATTCGAGTCCCTCATAGACGAACTTCCAGAACCTTATATTCTTCTGGGAGATTTCAATGCACATAGCAATCTGTGGGGTGACTCTCGCTGCGATGCTCGAGGTCGCCTGATTGAACGGCTTCTTTTTTCTTGCGGTGCATGCCTTCTGAATCGGAAAGCGCCAACATACTACAACATCGCTAACAATACGTACTCAGCAATAGACCTCAGCATAATATCCCCATCACTCCTGCCTCTACTTAAATGGGAAGTCATTAATGATCCATATGGTAGTGACCATTTTCCTATCGTTATTAGCACATCAATAGCAAATACATGTCCTGCACAAGTTCCCAAATGGCTCACCGACAAAGCCAATTGGGAAAAGTTTCAAAAAATGACTTTATTATCTTGGACTGACATGGCGACATTGAGCACAGAGGATGCTGTATGCTACTTCACAGCTTTCTTGGTTGATGCAGCAACAAAATGTATTCCCCAAACATGTGGACCGTCAAGCAAACGACGAGTCCCATGGTGGAATAATGAGTGCCGTGATGCTCGAAAAAAACAAAATAAGGCATGGAGGTTGCTTAGAGACTCGCCCACAGCCGAGAATCTTGTAAACTTTAAGAACGTCAAGTCGCAAGCAAGGAGGACGCGCCGGCAGGCGAGAAGAGAAAGTTGGCACAAATTCGTATCGGGCATTAACTCATACACAGATGAGTCGAGAGTCTGGAGTATGGTTGGCAAGGTGGCAGGACGAGAAGCACATTCGCTTCCTCTAGTGAACACACAAGGGGAGAGTTTGGAAGACCAGGCAAACACTCTCGGAGCGCACTTTGAACAGGTCTCCAGCTCAACACACTATAGTGAAGCGTTCCGACGATACAAAACCGCAATAGAAAAACAGAGATTAGAGCGCAAGCCCAGAACACATGAGGCATACAACGAACCTTTCTGTTTTGCTGAACTGCAGGCCTCACTTGCCATCTGCAATAAATCTGCCCCAGGCCCGGACCGTGTGGCATATGAAATGTTGAAACACCTGCCCACTGAAACCCAGAAAGCTCTCCTCTCTCTCTATAATGCGATATGGTCTTCTGGCGAGCTACCCTCAGCCTGGAAGGAAGCTATCATTATCCCAATTCTAAAACAAGGCAAGGACCCGGCCTCAGTTTCCAGCTACAGGCCAATAGCATTAACCAGCTGTATTTGCAAAGTCTTTGAAAAAATGATTAACAGGCGCCTGATGCACTTCCTTGAAATTAGTGGCCTACTTGACCCATACCAGTGTGGGTTCCGAGAGGCTCGGTCCACCACTGACCACCTAGTCCGTATCGAGGCACAAATTCGCGACGCTTTTGTTCATAAGCAATTTTTTCTTTCTGTGTTTCTCGATATGGAAAAGGCATATGACACTGCATGGCGCTTCGGCATATTGCGAGACCTGTCACATTTAGGTGTGCGGGGTAGAATGCTGACAGTTATCGAAAGCTACCTGTCCAACCGTACATTCCGTGTCCAAGTTGGCACTGTCTTATCTCGAGTATTTGTCCAAGAAACAGGAGTGCCACAAGGAGGTGTACTGAGCTGTACACTTTTCATAGTTAAAATGAATTCCTTGCACCTGTCTCTCCCACGAAATATTTTTTACTGCATATATGTCGATGATGTGCAGATTGGTTACAAATCTTGCAACATCTCAATGTGCCAACGTCAAGTTCAACTAGGGTTGAACAAGGTATCTCAATGGGCAAACGAGAATGGTTTTATACTCAACGCGCAAAAGAGCACTTGTGTCTTGTTCAGCCGAAAGAGGGGCCTCCATCCTGACCCCGACATTGACCTGCATGGTGAACCTCTGTCAGTGAAGACCGAGCACAAGTTTCTCGGTCTCATATTAGACACTAAGCTAACTTTCATCCCACACATCAAGTATTTAAGAGACAGGTGCTTAAAAACAATGAACATTTTGAAAGTATTGTCACACACTACATGGGGAAGTGACAGGAAATGTTTAATTAACTTATATAAAAGCCTCGTACGCACGCGCCTAGATTACGGTGCTATAGTCTACCAGTCGGCAACACCATCAGCCTTGAAAATTCTCGACCCTGTCCACCATCTAGGCATTCGCCTCTCTACGGGTGCTTTCCGCACCAGCCCTGTGGAGAGCCTGTACGTGGATTCGAATGAATGGTCGCTCCACCTACAAAGATGTTCCCTGTCCTTTTTGTACTTTTTGAAGGTGAAGGCAGACAAGAAACATCCTTCCCATTTCACAATTAATGATTTGTCTTGTTCTGGCTTGTTCGAGAACCGACCTTCGTTTAGGCAGCCCTACGCGCTGCGTGTAAGGAGCTTGGCCGAAGGAACAGGTGTGCCTCTTCTTGAACCCAGTTTGATGGCTCCTGCAACATATCTGCCACCGTGGCAGTGGCAGCTTATAGACTGTGATGTTTCTTTTTTTGATGTCACAAAGCACGCACCACTTGCACACATACATACATACTTTTTAGAACTGCAACATAAATACACATGC